TCTATGATCCTAAAAGTGATCGAACCTAGAATCTCCAGCTTTTTTTTTTGTTGTAACATGTACTTTGTGTTTAGATCAATAATTCGAAATCCTAGATTCTAGAAACGTAATGTCATTTTAATTTACATACAGAGCAATAACTATTCATTGTTATCTAATATGTAAACTATCCTTGAACAAAATAATTTTCATAAATGTTCTATCAAAATAATATTTAAAAAATGAAGAGTATTTGAACGAATAATTGTTTTTACTAACTTCATCATCAGGGTCCTTTAGTTGTAAGTTCATAATTATGATATTTTTATTGTTAGAGAGTAAACATCATATTGAAATAGAGAAAAAAAATTCATTGTTCCAAAGAATCTACCTGTTGGGGATGTTAGATCCCCAAAACTTGGTAAATGCCATATTTTTGTCATTTTATTTTAAAAATTTGAATTTCTTGTTTTCGTGCCAAAAGACCCATTTTCATTTCATGTCATATTCCCCACTTGGGAGGACCTTAAATGCTCTTGGTTCGTTATCTCTTTTAATATGTTGTTTTTTAACTTTTCTCAAGGTCATTTTTATGCTGTACATATACTCTTTATTGTTGTTGTTCGTGCTTCTGGCTGCTTGTGGGATATATTTCCTTATTTGAACCTGAACTTCTTTCTGTAGTTAGCGAGACTGGGACGCATCGGAATAGTTAGCTGATTTGTCCACTGATTTGTGTCACTAAGTTCTCGTTTCGTTCGCAGATTAGGTGAACTCGTAATGTCTTCAAACATAGCACACTCTCAAGGAGCTAGATTATGGCTAGTTTAAATAGTCGAAGCCATCTTCATCAACTACAGAGAACCGAATTTATGTGTCCACAAAGGGTATATCCAGCCTCTATGTTTACTTTGGCCTACGGATGGATCACCTGATACTTTAACTAAATATTATAAACCTCTTACCTTTTCCCCATTTTTTTATCACATCTATCTTGACATTCATCTTTCCCAATTCACATGAATTCATTTTTATCACCCTTCTTATCACAGTTATGTTCACACAACCATATTATTATTACGATTGCTATTATCATTGTTACCTCAGTTAACGAGAGGAAATTCTTTTACCATTCATTTTATTCACACGATTTTTTTTCACTTTCATCATTGTTATATTACTATTCTACTTATTGCGACTGAACCTATTCCAAATCATTCTGACCTTTATTAAATGACTTTTCTAATTTACAACTAACACAAATTTTTAAGCTATTTATGTAGTAACGGATGTAAACGTCCACTATTTTTAACATACAACATTGCCAAATCCATTAATTTCACTGGTTGAAATCATGAATTCATTGAAGCTAGACCACCATGGAAAACCTGGAAGCACTGGACGGCCGTTTCGTCCTAGTATAGGGCTCCTTAGCAGTGCGCATCCACGATCCCGCTCCTCGCGAGATTCGAACCCAGGACCTATCAGTCTCGCACCAGGCGCTTAACCAACTAGACCACTGAACCGGCATCCAACGGTGTTAATGTCTAACTTCAACCAATCCACGAAGTTGCGCCACGTTCATGATTTATTTTGGCCTTTGTAAATTATTATAATAATTATGGACTTATAACTGTAGAGACTGATGATGAAGTTATTGTTCGCCCAAATATTCTTTATTATTTGAATATTCGATGGGGATTTTTAAACTGTTAAAATAATATTTATTACGAAATGTTTATTATATACCATTTATAGTCTGAATATTATGGAAATACCAAAAAAAGTCTAGAGGTTAAGTATTGACGCGCGAGACTGATAAGTCCTGAGTTGGAATCCCATGGGCAAGATCGTGGATGCGCACTACTGAAGAGTCCCTTACTAGGATGAAACGATCATTCAGTGCTTCCAGATTTTCTATGGTAGTCTAACTTCAATTGACCCATGAATTCAACTATTAAATTATTAAAAAACAGTGTTTAAAGTACATAATATTAATAAATAAAATATTCAGTTCATTTATTTTCTCTGTATGAAAAATTCATTTGGTAAAACTTATCTATTCAATTTTATTAGAGTGACACGAATAGCTATAAGAATGAAGGGGTTTTGTTCTATTAAATTTATCTGCTGTCAAACTTTATTTTAGTAAAAAACAAAAAAACTGTAGAGACGGTTATTAATATGATTTTTCTTTTTTTAAAGTTATAAACATTTCATTTCATGAATAAATGAAACTTTTGTAATTTCAATAGGTGAAATCATGAGTCGATTGAAGCTAGAACACCATGAAAGACCTGGAAGCACTGGATGGCCGTTTCGTCCTGGTATGTAATTCCTCAGTAGCGCGCATCCACGATCCCGTCTCACAAGATTCGAACCAGGGACCTAACAATCTCGCGCGCGCAACCAATTGACCACTAGACCACTGAGACAGCCAGTATCCAACGGTGTTACTGTCTAACTCCAACTAATCCACGAAATTAAGCAACACACCCACCATTGTCTTCAGTGAGCTGATATCTCACAGCAGACCTGGTTGAACTCCACTGGTCACGACTTCTCATTAGAACTGCAGACAATGCCTCTTGAACTTAGACACTAGTGAGCAGATGATTAATATCAGAAATGGTTTTGTGGAGATTTTAGTAATTTTAATAGTTGAAATCATGAGTCAATTTAAGCTTCCAGGTTTTCCATGGTGGTCTAGCCTTAATTGACTCATGATTTCAACTATTGAAATTACTAAAATCTCCACAAAATCCCTTCTGAAACTTTTTTACTTTTAAGTCTTATTCATTTTAATGTTATTATTCTTCTGTTTGGTTTATTCTTCGAGATGTCGTAGGTGACTTTTACTGAGTCTTCATAAAGTTATACTAAACCTCTTTGTAATTGTTTGTATAAATACATAAAAGTATGGTAATATTTATTATCCGCTTCATAATCATTGTTTTCTTTAGAACATGTGATATTTCATATAATAGTCGAAAAAAATTGGTTGATTGAAGTGTTTGTCTTTACAGAAAATAGCTGTTTTTTTTTCAGGATGATTTTAAAGAGACAAGAATTCTGTAACTAATAATTAAATAATATAAATGAAACTCATCAACCAATAAATTATTTGCAATAGCATCCCATGAAAGTTTGCTTACTGTAATATATCATTATGTTGTTGTGTAATAATGAAATGTAATCACAATTGGTTGATCACTGGGTGATGATCAATGTCATGTGTGTGAATTCTTTCTTAGTGAAGATCGAATGCTATCGACCAAGTTGCAATGTGGCCACTAGTCTAGGTGACTCAACATTGCGTGCACTATGTTATTAACAAGAAACCCTGGACCCCGGTTTCGTGTTACTTGGCACTCGTCCGCAAGTTGTATCTGTAATCTTGAGGGAACTGGTGCTCCCTGATGGATTGGATCCCGTGTTACTGAATAATATAAACGAGAGTTATCAACTAATCATTTATTTACAACAGCATTTCATGAAAGTTTATTTAGTGTAATCTATCATTATATTGTTGTGTAATAATGATATGCTTAACGAATCTTTACTTATAAACGATATCATTAAAGTATTTGTAGCTAAATACATCTATTACGTAAATATAGTTAGACCTAATTTCCATAATTAAAAAGTAATGTTTATTTTACAATATCAATTCTCCACAAAACCCTTTCTAGTAATATCAATAGTGTTTATGAGATGATGCAGATGGATTTAAAAATTGGTACATATTTAATATTACAAAAAAATGAACAAAAATTGAACAGAACTAGAAAGGAAAACCCAGAACAGAGTGGGTTGCAGAATGCTAGTCGGCGTCCTATACTCCATTGGGAGTAACAAGCTTAAGTAAGTTAATATTATAAATGTTTATAGAACGGTGTACTACAAGCATTATTTTAATTAAACATTATAAAACCTTCATTGTTGAATTGTACCAAGATACTAAAACTATTTTAAATTAAACATGTACATCAGCATATTCATTAAAAAAAAGTCCTATATTGTTAATTAATATGTTGAAAAAGTAAATAGAACTTATGAAATAGGCTATGTATCTCTTACATACATATACATCTTGTATGAAATTTAATAGGATAACTGCTTAAATCATAGTAAAACCAATTCAACTTAGTAGTTCAATAGAATATAAAAACAGATTACTTAATATTCACTACTATATTTTAATATACGTAGTTTGGAAAATCCACATAATGAATAGATATTGAATATATACTTAACTTATTTCACGATAAACTATATCGTACTACTGAAAAAAAACAGACAAAACAAATAAGTTCAGATGTTAATATCAAACATTTGAACCCATTCAACATATTTATGTATAAATTCAGTTTTATACTTACTGCTTATTCTCCATAAAACAATATTAACTATTTAGTAAGTAGTTTGGTAGATATTTTTCTGGTTGGCGTTTTTTTAGCGAGTTAGTTTTCTACGGGATAGGATCGCTAACCCCATGCCTAAACCTCCTCCTTTATCCGGGCTTGGGACAGGCAGCAGTCCCCGGAGGGACTCCAAGCGGATGGAACTAGAAAGGAAGGCACAGGACAGAGTGGGCTGGAGAATGCTGGTCGGCGGCCTATGCTCCATTGGGAGTAACAGGCGTAAGGAAGTAAGTTGGTAGATATTACATATATATATATATATATATATATACATATATATATATATATATATAGCTCCTAGATCTTGTAGTAGGCGTTAACAAACGTAAAATATCAGATTGTTATATTTTACTATCTTATTATTAATTATATTACATCATATTTTATTCATTGTAATTCAAACTAACTACATCAATACGTTATCGATATTATTAAGCACAGATACATGTGTTACCCAATAATAAAAAGGAATATAAAAATAATTTTAAAAATAATTTAAAATTTTATTATTTACGAATAGTTAATAAGAATTATTCTTGTAGTAATTATATATTATTATTAGTAGTGATGATAGTTAGTCACTTTTTAGAATGATATATATATATATATATATATATATATCATAATACAGATATTTGGTAAATAATCTTTGTAAATATTAAATTTCATCTATCTTCTTTACCTTGTAATAATAATGGATAGTAATATCATTGAAATGTTTACAGAACAGAAACATGTTGCTTTTTTTGTTATCAGTATTTATACTACTAATAATTATATCATTATTACTATCATGGTTGTGTTTTTTTTCCTTTTTTTTTTAAAAAAAATTTCATTGTTTACATAAACTTCTGTTTATTTTAATTAACCATATCTCATAACATTAGGTAATCCTCTTGGAGGTTCCGCTTTTAATTGTCTTAATTCTTCATCAATATTTCTTTGTGGTTTTAAATATAAATATGATTCAGACCATGTTGGATAATAATCAATATTTGGTTGAATAAATTTTCTTCTTGATAATATGGATGATGATGATAATGATGATAATGGTGAATTTGAAGGAACTTCTTCAATAGCTGCTTGTTCAGCTAATATAGCTTCTGATAAAGTTAATGGATTTGACCAATCAATTGTTTTGAAGTTTGTATAATAACATTTAATATTAGGTTTACATAATAGAAATATGAAATGGAATAATAATAACTTTAAATAGATGAACATAATTATGAAATAAATGAGTAGTATATAATTGTTAGTAGTATAAATAATATACTTAAAGTATCTTCTTTATCAAATATAATAATATACATGATATTTATATTTTTAATTATCATTAATGAATAACACCTACGCATTTTTTTCTCAAAAAAATTTAATTCGTTTTTTCCACTGGTTCATTGAAATTTAATAATAAGCCAATAATAAAATTTTTAAATGTTTCGGACTAATTCACTTAGTGTTGTTTTATGTTGTTTTACTTGTATCTTCCCTTGTTATTTAGGACTATTATTGATCAGTCTCATATTGGATATATGTGCAACCTGTGCAAATTGCCTCAATATAGCATGAAGTTACAAGCTTTTTAAACAAAAATGGATAGTGGTTAGCAGTGGAATCCACGACCTAAATTTCGTCGTATTTGGCACTCGTCAGCTAGATTTATCTGCATCCCAGAGTCGATGTTCACTCCAGGACTCGAATCCACATATGTCAACATGAGACTGATCAATTGCAGTTCTAAATAACAGTGGGAAGATACAAGTAATACAACACTAACTGAATTTAAACTTCACTTCATTGCACAAGCAGGTGGCTATCAGGACTCTGTAGCTAAGTGGATAATGCGATGGCGTTTGAAGCTAACAGTACTGTGTTGGAGTCCCGGAGTGAACATCAACTCTAGGATGAAGGTACATCCAACTGACGTATCCCAAATAGGACTAAACGAGCGTCCTGGATTCCACTGCTAGCCACTATCTATTTTTGGGACTAATTTTTAGAAAAGAAGAGAAAGTACTGATCATATTAAGTACTTGTGTTTTTTTAAATCATCAAAGTAATTACAGATAAGGAAATATCATGAAGTTAAGTAATTATATAATTTTAAACTACAGGCCAACTAAACGTAGATAACCATATTTTGATAGAGTTTCGTTCTCTGAGGTGAATGGTTTGGTTGTGGAGCTTTCATTGTTCATCTGAACGATATAATCAGCACAAATTTCAGGTAGATAACCATGGAACATCAAGAATCACATTGGATAACTCTTTTGTCTTGATATTAAAAATTGGATGAAATTGAATATAAGAACTGTTGAATAACAACCTATTTGTTAAAACGCTACGACCTAGCTATAGTGTTTGAAGGTCTTATATTAATTACTTGTCAAGGTCATGTGTTCATATTACTTACGTGAATCATACATGAACGAAATAGCTGTTTTATTCATTTTGTATTTTATTAGTTATCTAACATTAATATACTGAGTAAATAGGTTTCAAATAAAATGAACTTTACAGATCTTTTATACTCCTATTTAAACTGGTGATTAATACAAGTGTTTTTAACTAGTTGAGATCATGAGTCAACTGAAGCTAGAACACCATGGAAAACCTGGAAGCACTGGACGGTCGGCCTAGTGGTCTAGTGGTTAAGCGCTCGCGAGCGAGACTGATAGGTCCTGGGTTCGAATCTCTGCGAGGCTAGATCGTGGATGCGCGCTGCTGAGAAGTTCTATACTAGGACGAAACGGCCATCTAGTGCTTCCAGGTTTTCCATAGTGGTCTAGCTTCAATTGATTCATGATTTCAACTGACAAGTGTTTTTGTAACAGTAAGAAATGAATAAATAATGAATGGTATGTGTATATAAAATAAACCATTTATATGCTAAATGAAAATTACAAAACAAGTTTGATGAATATATTTTCAAGTAAAATAACTATTTAAGCTTTCATATGACAATCATTATCTTGCTAATAGAAGCTCGTTTTCAAATATTCCGCTATTTTCGTTTCAGAGTGTGTCGTTTATGAAATTTAATTGATGAAGTATAAATTGCATGAAACCTTTTACAGTAACATTTAATAATATACTGGCTAACCTTGCCCATCTATAAATTTATATGAAGCGCTCTTGTCGTAGTAATTTACTTACTCGATAATTCCTACAATACTTCCTACTAAAATATCAACAAGGTAATACTTATAACATGAATTCATCTATGTTTTTAGTTGTTGATTGAGTAGTAGGATAGACTTTTGTAATGAAATTCAAAAGTATATTGTTTATTCTGTGTTCCCACTATGATATTCTAATTCAACATCTATCTTTTTAGTTGGTTTTTCTCGTTCGACTTTTTAATTATATAAACTATGTTATTACCAAAGTTATATTACTTATTCTTCTTGTATTAATGTTGCTTTATAAAACTCAACTAAATAGTTTTATCATAACAAGTCAGCTCTCTCTATATGATTAATGTCTTTATAGAACTTAGAAACAAATAATTTTATAGTTGAATTCATGAGTCAATTGAAGTTAGACCACCATGGAAGCACTGAACGGTCTTTTTGTCCTATCGCAGGAATCCTCAGCAGTGCACATCCACGATCCCGTCTCACAAGATTCGAACCAGGGACCTAACAATCTCGCGCGCGCAACCAATTGACCACTAGACCACTGAGACAGCCAGTATCCAACGGTGTTACTGTCTAACTCCAACTAATCCACGAAATTAAGCAACACACCCACCATTGTCTTCAGTGAGCTGATATCTCACAACAGACCTGGTTGAACTCCACTGGTCACGGCTTCTCACTAGAACTACAGAAAATACCTCTAGTTTTAATTGACTCATGAATTTAACCATAAAATTACTAAAATCTCGACAAAACCCCTTCTGATAGTACAAATAATTACTTATTTTTTATGGTGTTCAGTGGTATTATGGTGTGGGTTACTTATATTCACACAAGTAGTATACAACGGTGGTCAGACTTAGAATGTATTTCAGTAGAAGATCGATTCGGAAAGGACGGGAACACAATGCAATTTGTATGAAAACGCATGAACAATGAAATCTGAGACAATGGATTGATGTTTGCGACAGGAACAGTCGAATTTGATATGATGGATTGAGATTTTGCAAATTAACGATTTAATATATGGTTCTCAGATTTTATTGAGGTGCTCTGTAATTATGTGCTCAAAATGCATTCGATTGTTCCCCACTCGTGTTCTGTTCACTACAATATTACCTTTAAATAGAATAAAAAATGATAATATACTCTCGTGATATAGTGTAAAAGTTGTCAGTCTGATCTCTTGTTCTATATAATATAACCTGATTGATTCTTATTTCATCTTAATTATTTTATGATTGGTTTACAGTTTACTTCTTTATCAATCATTGTATTTAGTAAATGGACATTTAGCTTCTATAATTGTCAACTGGAAACAATTCTTATATCTTGTTGAATTTCATATTGTCTAATTTTCTGGTTTATTCATTATCAACTGACTTGATATTAATTAGCTTCTTTTCGAAATTATATGAATAAATGTGTTTAAGCATGCACACTTTAGTAATAAATATGGTAATGTAGATATGAAAAGATATCGTTGAGGAAAAAAAAAAAAGATTTTTTATACAATGTGGTTCTTGTCTCAAATATCATAAGTTCATTTTTATTTTATTCTCAACTTGTTTAGAATAATCAATCACAACTTCGACAAAATAATCAAGTTTATAGGTGTGAATGTCAATGTTAAACATCTTAGTTTCAAATATATTGTGCATTAAGTAGAAAGTTAATAATAGATATATTCTGAAGAAGTAGCTTACATTAAGTCACGAAACACCAGAAATATAAGTTTTCTAATCATTGGGATAAAACAAAAAAAATATATTTATTATAAAATCATCAAAAATTTAATATTACAGCGAGCCACTAATGAACGTAGGGTTATTAGTTAATTAGATATTTTTTAATTGAGATCATGAACCGATTGTTGTTAGACCACTATTGAAAATCTGGAAGCACTGGACGGCTGTTTCGTCCTATTGTGGAACCCCTCAGCAGTGCGCATCCACGATCCCGCTCGCGGGATTCGAACTCAGAACCTTCAGTCTCGCGCGCGAACGCTTAAGCTACTGGACCATTGAGTCGGCATTCAATCGTGCTTCCAGGTTTTCAATGGTGATCTAATATCAATCGGTTCATGATCTCAATAAAAAAAACATAACAATCTCCACAACTTCTAAACTGATAACTACATATTTTATGGAAACATTTCTATAGCGGGAAAACTTTTCGTCATGTACCAACGTAAACTAAAAAATTAGTAACACAAACAGACAAGGGATAAGCTCTGATTCATCTAGTTTTCCAACTGTGAAAATATTATCACAGGTTTTCTGTTTTATGTTTATGAACCCTTCGACCTTTTATAAATGAATTATATATATATATATATATATATATATATATATATATATATATATATATATATATATATACGTCTTTAATACTAAAATATCTTTATTTTCATAGTGTTAACTTATTTTGTCTGCTCGTACTGTAGTGGTTAGTACCATGAAAAACCCATAAACGTATTATAGCTTATCGATAGATCCAGTTATTCATTTACCTCAAGCCACATTTTGACTTTGTCACTTATTTGCCCATTAACCGTGAATGTTTTTATATGATCGCATGTGTGTTAATTGCTTACCCTATTCATCATGTGTCTTTAAGTTATTTTGTCTGAATATACATATTGAAAATCCGTCAGTAGATATTCTAGGGTTACTGTCGGTCCCAATCACACAAAAAAGACGAGCGTTAGGCACCAAGTAGGCAACCCCATCCAACAGAAAACAACCTCGCTAAAAATGCGTTAGCCAGAATAAACAATTCAAGCCATTTAAACTATGACCTGCGAATTGAAGGATCTCAATTCAGAAGAATTATGATGCCTCATGGTGGAAGCCGAGATCCCTCAGAAGTCACGAAACCAATACCCTTCTAGCAACCAGAACAACAATGAATATAGATACATGGAATGTCCGAACAATGTGGAAGATCGGAAGGACCAATCAAATAGCTACGGAAATGAAGAGATACAATTTGACGGTTCTCAGAATCAGCATAACCCATTGAACCGAAGTTGGACAACAAAGGCTAGATACGAGAGAGATGCTGTTGTACTCAGACCACAAAGAGGAAAATGCTCCACACACTCAGGGAGTTGCTCTGATGCTGTCCAGTGAAGCACGTAAAGCACT